AGAGGTTATTCGATGGAAATAAAGAAGTTTGTGTCTAGGTGATTGTGTTGAGTAAACCCTTGTAGCGCCGTGTACATATGCTGAAGGGAGCAGTGAGAACAAAAGACGAGACAAGGTCGATTTCCAAGGGAAGTTGCATTTGTTCTATACTCCAAATTGTCTATAATCAACCAAGATTTGTCTTTATCGGTTCTTTTGATTTTCATATTATTAACTTTAAAGATGTAATGGCTTAATAGTGTGAAGTACTGCTGTAGACTTCATTAAGCTTTTAAGTAGTTGACTATTTTTCGTTGAAGATTTTATTAAGGTAGTACCTAGTTTAGAGAGATCATGAATGTCTATACCCAGAAGTTCGATTACATTATTAGTAACATTAGCAGTTATTGCTTCAAGTTCCAACCTATGCATGCGAAACGTCGACCCTGAGTTTGAAAGCTACTCGAACTGCAGAATACGCAGTTCAGCTAGGAAAGACATATGTTGGAATAACAAGAGGAAACAACAAATGAATGGGTATGGGTGCAAGCAAAGGTCTGCGATGTCATTGCCTAGTGAAAAAATTACAGTGGCAATGGGCAGGGCACGTAGCAACAAGAACCGACCATCGCTAAGCCAGGCAAACATTAGACTCGATTCCAGTTGAGGGTAAAAAGTCCTTTGGAAGAAATGATGGTGGGTGAACTGAAAAAGTTCGTTGAATCGTAGAGGATAAGAGTCACATAAAACTGCAGTTTTGGAGACGCTTTCATCCAGCAGTGGATTGAAAAAAGCTGATCGTACTGCTGACGAATAGTAACAATGAAGGTGAAATGTTTATTAAAGACAGTTATGTGATCTAGAGCTTTACATTTATCATTGCTTTATCTTTCTAAACGGGTAGAATTTTGGAAATTTGTAGTTTCGTTCGGAAGAGGTCTTTTTTACGATTATACTTTTGCTGATTCTCACATTGCATCGGCAGCTATCAGATGGACCACGACGAAGTGTAGCCACGAGTGCGCTCATATCGGACAGCATGTTCATGTATCTTACCCACAGTTTTATGCCAGCACCACGTTGTCCCGGTTGTTCGTAAGGCAACGACTGATTACCCGTCTCGGCTAGTCATACCCAAGCAACATGGGTCACATCTCTTGATAAAGGGAATTGGCAGTTAACACATCGTTTTTCCTTTCTCGGGAGTTTAAAACCGACATCTCCAGAATTCAAATTGGACCTTTACCACCTTGCCACTGACCCCTCCTTGATTTCGCTTCTTTATATGTACCACACAAAATGCTTTGTGGTATTTCTAGGTTGTTCTCCTCTTTCTTTACTATGTTTATCAGTGTATTATAAGTTGAAATTCTTCATTGTGCTGAAGATTTATCTTATTGTGAATGAAGTCAGTAAACTAGATACTTATGATTAATAATTTTTTTAGCAGCGTGTTTCATTAAACTATTTCATGAGCGGCGTTGAACACACAATCGAGCATGGATGACCAGCAAAAGGTGGAAACTGACATAAAATTGCCACAGAGAGTGGGAATTTGCCGCAGCAAATCACATAATAGAGATCGCCGTTCGTCCGAAAATCTAACGGAAAGTAGTGATGAATCCGAAATTGAACATGAAGTAACAGTCAGAGTTGTTTGCAATTTTTTTTATCAAGTGAAGTCCCTTTTCAGACAAATAATGCCCATGCTGATCATGATACATCGTCGCAGACACAAGCCCAGGAGAAGCGGAAGATTCATAATTCGAGCTCCTCAAACGACCTCACTGGGTCGTTATCGGAAAGTGGTTCTGAAGATGACAAAAGCGACGAAACGAAGCAATCCCTGGACGATAGCCAGCCTCAAGAATTACCTACGAAAAATCGAAAATTCGACAACAAGGCCTGGGGAATTATGGTTTGTCTTCTCTGTGGTATGCTGTTTTTAAGATTAAAACTATAGCTTCTATGCTTTTAGTCAAAAATGGGATACAAGGAGGGAACCGGTCTGGGCGCGAAGGAACACGGAAGGAAGGTGCCGGTGGACGTCAAGCCGCAGTACGGCAAGCGGGGCCTTGGATTAGTGGTGAAAGGCATCGAACCGTCGTTCTCAGTACAGTGGGATTTTGAACACGAGGATGCAAGTATTTTCGAACTCATATCTTAATGCGATATCATAATTGCTTTTTTCTTCGCTATCTTTGCTCTTCTCCTTCTTTTTCTTTTTCCTAA